CAGAGAGTGAAGACTAGTACCAAAATACAGTTCTCAGACAAACAACTCAAGTCAGCTACGTATCCTGTGACCTGTTCCTTTGGCGGGTGGACTAGCTTTGGTTGAAATAGGACCAACGTTTCAGATAGTGCAAAATGATTTTTCAGTAGTGGGAGGATTTCATTATAGGACTTGCCACAGGGTTTAGCCAGAGATATGAGTGAAGAAACCATGTCACAAACCTGTGAGCTGATGACACTACACATTTTTTATTAGCCTCAATAATCTCACCATTTTCCAGAAGGATGAACTGGTCATTGTAGGAGTCCCAGGATGATGATGTGGCCACATTAAACACTTCAATACAGACCAAGCTAACCATGCTACCACCCCATGGGAAGGAAAACCCTGGTCTGGACTTCCTGGTTGGTACAGGCACCTTCTCCTTTGCAGCACTCAGCATTTGCCGATCAGGATGAAGCACTGGAGGCATTTCGTGCTCACTGAGATCTTGTCCTTGTTGCTTAACTGAATGTCTCACAAGCAAAGCAGCAGGCAGCAACAGGAGATAAACCCTGTATGGAATAGCACCACTTCCTGGCAGAAGTGCATAATACGTATGCATTACTGTACATTAAATACATAATATTCTGTAAGATAGGTAGGACTCCAATGTCATGTGTCTACAACAGTGATTCTCAGCCAGGGTGTGGCTGGAACCTGGGTGCTATGGGATGCCACTCAGTATTGGCACTGTTAGGTATACAAACACCTCCACAGGATTCACAAAATAAATCCAGAGATTTCAAATAAGAATCTACCCAAGACAACTACATATTGCAGCCTTCAGCAAAGGTAAAGATGTTATAAACAGGAAGGGCTCTCCCCCCCGCCAAAAAAAAACAACCAAACCCCAGTACGCAAGAAACTGGATGATTTACATTTTTTAGTCTTTTCTTCTGCCCCTGTGGCTGTTAAGTACCACTCAAACCTTTGCCTGAATGCCCTCCAGTTCTCTGCTATATTGCCTGACAGTAGAAAGGCAGGTGGAGTTTGCAACACTTCCATAACCAACTATCCTTAGACTACAACTGGAGGAAGATCATTTACAGTAGCCCTTGTCTTTCCTCTCAGTTGCACTGCCCCACTTGTTCTTAGGTTCCAACTTCTTCAGTTTGGATATTAAATTCTTTCAAGTTCCTTCTCATAGTGATCACCAGGTTCAAAAAGCATAGACTTATGTGAATTAGATTAACTAAAACAGTGGTGCTCAAACTTTCAGCACCATGAACAAGGTGAATGGCTGGTCCATAGGCTCAGTTCTGCATGGGGTTGGGCTCCATGCACCTGAATTCCTCCTTGTGCCACCTAAATTGTATCCCATGCAACTGGATCCTGCTTTATACTGCCTGTATAGGGCCCCATGCACCCAGATCCTGCTCTGCACCAACCAGAGAAGGCCCTACACACCTGATCTAGTGTCTAGGGCTACAATATCTGCCCATGGGTCTCAAAATTTGGCAGCTGGGGAACAGCAATTAATGCTGCTATAGCTCCCCTGCCACCAAATTTTTGGGCCATGGAGAGCCCTACGGACTGAATGATATGGCTCTGTGGCCCAGATTTAGCCCACAGGCTAGGGGTTCAGCACACCCAAACTAAACAATGAATTTTATTGTGGAGCTGTAGGCAACCTCTTCAGAAGCTTGGTCTCCCAACTAACAGCTACTATCTAGCTGAGGAACCATCTCCCAATTCCCAAATCTTCTAAATTAGAAAGTGCCTCTAAATTATAACTTGTATCACTACACCCAGGGCTACTGCAACCTGTACAGGCCTGCTTCTGAGCTGTCTATACTCCCTTGTTTGCAGACTCAGTGTGGAGCAGAATTATTTCTCAGCAGTGCTCTGAGGCTCACTCTAAAAACTGGATAAATGTAGCCCAAGACTTTTGCTCCTTAGTCAATTCCTGACATGCATTTTAGCTTAATTCTTAGGAGGAGGAAATGTGGGGGTCTAGCTGTACATAGAAGTGATTGAGAACTCTTATTCTGATTTTTACACCTGAGTGTTTGCCTCACACTTTTTAGCCAGCTTTTTCGTTTTGATACTGGAGACAGAAGGAGTGTCCAGGAAAAAATGTTTAAAAGGACAGGCATACTGCACATAAATAGCATTTCCATCAGTCCATTTATCATTCACTGGGTTGCCTTTAGAATTCATCTTCATCTGGCAGGAGTAATGTCATAAAACACCATTTTTAGGCAGCAGAAGTACAGTGATACCAGCTCTTCGGTCCTTGGCTTGCTAGACTTATAAAACCTGAATCTTGTTATTTGTATAATACATAAGAGGGAAAAAGACTGTTGCTATATTGTCATGTGGATGTGGTCTGCCATCTCCACTTCCTTCTCATCATTTTTTCTATATGCTCACATTTGACTATATAGAATCACAAATCACTAAGGAAATGAATTTGTTGTGGAGGATTGTACATCTTGCAGTTCATGTTAACCAAACCTGGGCATGAAAGAAAGCAAACCCCTTTGAGATCACTCAGATGATTAGGTTAGACTCAGTCACTGCTCCTCTGATTTTCATTCCTCCTCTTTATGAAACCCCTCCACCAACAGCTATTGTCCTGGTCTGAATACTCTGACATTCTTATTCCACATGCATTATACCAGACCAGAGTCTCTGGATTACTGCAGATGCCTAATGAGAAACATTCCTAAAATTTCCTAACACAAAAAAATAACAATGCACATAACCTATTCTTGTACATCTTTATTTGTTACTGATTGTTTTGCAAGTACATAGAAAGGACTTTGACACATAGTTTACAGTACAATAGCCATTTATATTACCGTTTCTCTTTCTACTTTTTCAGGGACACTTGGTCATTTTTGGTATCAAACAAAATAAAGAGAAATAAGTTAAGAAGGGAAAAAAGCAAAAATGCTACCTTCTTCAATTCAAGGCCACAAGTTCTGTCTTGTGAAGTAAGGCCAGGCAGATAATGATCTTACTGATATACCATTAGACCTTACTTGCATTTTCAGACGTTATTGCCAGGGAGGAGAGAAAGGGGAGCCAGTCTCTCATCCCTGTGAAAGCTTTGATTGCTGCTACCACCTCATTTGTATATTGCCAGAGGCACATCTAATACGAACGGCTTTGCTTGCTAGTAAAATCCAGTTTATACGTTTGTATTCATCATGATAATACAAGTCTTGCCAAAAAAACATTAATATGGTTAGCTCCCTGGGTCACTTGATATTTTGCTAAGAATACCAATACTGTACTGTGATATGATGTTACCAAGGCAAATTGATAGTAAAGCAGCCAGATATCTGCACCACACTGAGAAACCTGGTTCCACTTTCCTCCCCATTCACCAGTAAAACTCCATTGGCTTCAACACTCTTGAATGACAATGATAAAAACGTAAAGAGACTCAGGGCCATTGTGTTCAGCATGGGCACTCCAGTGCTAGAGACCCTTTCATAGTCTTGAGCAAGTGCAGATGTGTCCAAATGCAATTTGCTGTACACAATACAGGTGAAATATCTCCTTCCACAGCTAGGAAAACTGAGGCAGAGAGTGCCTTTTCCCAAGGCAACAAGTGGAGAACTGGGAAAACTAAGATTAGAATTCAGGAGCTATTGATCCCCTCCAAGTCCTTTGCTTGGGAATTTGATATACTGAACTCCAAGTTTCTGTTATATAGTTTCTCTCTTTATAACACCATTTTTAATGATAATTAAATTAATTATGGCCTGGGATCATCTCTCAAGGAGACATAATTCTGGTCAGGAGTTTAGGGAGTGAAATAATATGCACTTGCTACTGCTCTCTGGAACTTACTGTGGCAAGCCATACGGTGGTGTTTATATGCAACATTTTAGGCACCCTGCACCAAACCGACTGGCACTGACCTTACTGTAATGGGGTGAATTACAATAGCCCAGCATTTAATTTTCTAGATTTTCTTCAAGATTCCCTTCATTATTTAAATAAATAGTTTTCTCCTAGACAATCTGGGTCCAAAGTTCCCCCCAACCCCCACCCCTTGCATAACATTTTATATATTCCCCCTTGAAAAACAGCATCTGCTATGAGAGTCCTCTAAGTAAATATGTGAATAATGACTAGCGGAAACCCACTTATGACCCTGTCCATTCCTGAAAAGTCTCTCTTAACCAATCAACCCACCAATCTTCTGCTATGGAGCCACCCTTTTTACTTCACTGAGTCTACTCTCTCAACAGTGGATACTGTTAGTGCAGGGTCTTTGTGGATTAAATCTGTCTTAAAATCTTAGCTCAGAACTGTTTTATGCCAACCTACTGCAAGCAAGTCTCCGCTATAACAGAACCCATGCTGAACAATCCCACAGAATTCTAGCTGGGAGTAACATTGTCAGTCCAATTCTTAGTTTTTCCTCTGCATCAGTATTAAATCATCAGCTATTAACCAAAACCTTGTTTGAGAGCTGTTAACACAAAAGACCTACCCAAATTTAGAAACCAGATAAAAACTAGAGTTGTTTGGAAAACACACAGCAGGATTATTACTTGTAGTTATCCTGACGTGCTCTGTCCAGTGCCTCACAAAAAAAAATTAGTTTTGCATTTACCTTGACATACCAGTTGCAGAGTATTTTTGTTCCTTAAATGTCAACCTTTAGGACTTCTTGATACATGAAAGCTGTGTCCTAGTATAGGTAATGTGGGGCAACTCCTTTAGCACAGGTGCAGTTACACCTGGACAATGGTGCTTATATTCCTTTATGGGAAGAAGGATAAGCTATTCTCTTACATAGCACCTTTATACTGGGAAAACTGACCAGAGATTGTACCATTATTTCAGTTAGGATCATGATAGGAACTCACTGGATCCAAGCATTTGGGAGCTTCCAGCATACTCAAATGAATAGATGAAAAAACCATTGCATCTGGGGATAACACTATGCTTTGGTTAATGTAAATTTGCAGTTAACTGGGGGCTTATTTAATGACTCTAATAACTTGTAAATCGCATCCCATGCTATCATAGTTATACTGCTTAGTAACAAAATAGCTGTTCTCTGTAAATTTAATGGAAAAAGAAGAACCTTGTCAAACAGGAAGGTGCAAGGTTATTTTGATTGTCCTGTAGCTGTTGCATGTTCATTTTAGTTATTAGGAGTTTGGGTCCCAAATATTTTTCTGCTCCCTGAATCAGCAAGGGCCAAGAACTTGTTGTTTTTAACTCTTTTCTTACAGGAAGCTTGAACAGTTTAGGGAAAGGACTCATATCCCTGACTCTTCCCTAAACACTTCATGTCAAAACTTGGCTTTTGCCTTTCCTCCCCACCCACCCTTCTTTCTGTGACCTCATAGGCATAAGCCTATGTCCTACTGCAGCCTCATTTAGCTCCTTTCTAATGATGGCTTGGATGAGAAGTGTTATTGGGAAAGACTGAGTGGTTTCTGTAAGGAAACTTTAGGGTTATCACTTGTCTAAAGAACGAGACTTATTTTCCATTCAAATTAGCCTCTTTCTGGATTGTACATTTATGAGTTTCACCAACTGCATACAGCAGGGTCACACTCTGGAAGGTGTACCTTAGCCTTGTTAGTAATGGTACATAAACACCACAGGACCTGTAGATACATTCAGAACTGAAGGCCCAATTGCTCCCACTATTCTCAGTGGGAGTTTGCCACTGACTTGTATTTAAAAGGCCCCAAGTTTTCCACAAATGGAAATAGAAGTCCCTATGCCAGATGAACCTTTGCAGTTCACTATAAACACAACAATCATTCCCCAATGAAAGCCAACAAATCCCTCACCATGAGTCAGAATCACCACGATAATTACAATATTTCCACTCCAAATGATTGACTTGCTTATGTGACTTTAGCACAGGCAGTTACAAGTTTGCATGATCATCAGTGCACACAGGTAGTGCCATACTTGTTTTACATTGTAACATCTGGCAGTATGATCACTTCTACAAGGCATTTTGAGCTAATGCTTATTAACAATCAAATTGTACAATGTTGTTATTAAATATTTAGGCATTCAATTCACCCTTTTAAACAAAATTAGTAATGTTATGTGCATAAAAATGCCATTTACACAGCTATTCATGGCTGGGGTGTGACTACATAGAAACTACTTACAAAGCCCTTTTAAAAAAAACTATAATTGCAAAACAGACGTTGATTTCCTTTCAATCAAACTCCCATTTGGAAACAGGGTCTCTGGAAAGTCAAGCCCAGGCTATGATTCAGCTGAAATCTGTTTCATTGGTATGAGATTTGATGAAACCTAGTTAAAAGGAGAGAGAGGGAAGATTAAAAAAAAGGCTACATACACTAGTGCAAATGGGCTACCCCTCCCCCCAGCCCCGATTTCAGCAATATCTAGTGTAGCACACAATACTGCAGTCTCAGGTACCCCATCACTGAGTTGTTCTTAATACGTGAACCAAGCTGGGTGGGGGAGAAGGCGAAGCAATTTACAGAATACCCAAAGGCTAACAGGATGCAGTGGTCATGGAGCTAGCAGGACAGTAGACAGACTGCCGTGTACTCCCACTCTGTACACTGAGTGCCACTAAACACCCAGCACCTGATTTATACCTGGCACACACTTGGTTCACACGTGCAATTACTCTGATGCAGGCTAAGAAGAGGGACCTGGGGGAAATTGTAAACATTTTTGATCTATTCATGTCTAAGAGAGACAATATTTGACTCAAAGAACTTCTGGTTGTGGTTAGTGATGTGACTTCCAGCATGAACACAAGACTACAAAGGAATTCTTAGCATAATTAAGCACCATTACTCTAGAAGAGCCCAGCTCCTCCACCTGCTCCTTGTCAAACACTTGACAAAGAGTAGATCTCCTGTCACAATGGGCCCAGACAGAAGGATTCCAAAGCTGGGTTGAAGAAAACCAATGCTTGGGATCTCCACAGCAGGGCCTATAAGCCAAGACCATTCCTGCTGCTAGCCTGATAACAGGCAGAAACCTAGCACAAAGAGCAAGGATGATCTAGATGTAGTTGTTAACTGCTCATCTTGTTTAAGAGGCAAATCCTTCAGTATTTTGGGTGTAGATGATTAACATATTTCAGTGCAACCTCACACATTGCATTTTTTCTGCTTCTTCCTCCTACCTGTTTTATGTTACTGTATGGAACCTGCTAACACAATTACAAAAGTATAGCTATAAAGGGTCGGCAATCATTAACAACCTGTTGCCTGCAGAGCTGCACTTTACACTCTGCTGGATTTCGTGAACTATTTTTCTTCAAACTACAATAAATCATCATTTACATCCAGTTCTACGTGGGAGCTACTGCTAAGTAAAGCTGGGTCCACAGAATGTATATTTGTGCAGAATGTTGAGGAAAAGTCTTGGTGGAAAGAAAGAGGCACTGTATCTTGATTTTTCAGAGCTCTGTGCACAGCAGGATAATAAACTGCTGCCACATATACAATGTGTGTGTGTGGGTGGGGGGGGAGGGGTGCATGTTTGTGCACACACGTGTGTTTACATGCGTGCACATGTGGAACAGCAGGAAAAATACTTTCAGTGCACAGAGCCACACAGATGGGTTTCAGAACAGCTTCAAAAAGCATTATAAAATGTAGGTCCAATTCTGTTAACCCTGAGAAGCACGTTATGCATGCACGGCTCTACTAAAATCAACAAAAATAGTGGAAGAGGGAGAAACTCTGCTAAGGATGAAGCAGCATGTAGACCTGCACTTCTAACAATGCCAAAATTCATTTCCTATGAGTGGAGGTTGTGCAACTGCTATCATGGTTTTCAATACCATCCCAGTTTTGCATTTTCCATTTGAATGAGCGTACTCCATGAAAATTAACATGGGAACATCTGAAATTACATCTATCCCCTGTGTCCATCACCATTCATTCCCATGAAGGGGCTAATTCCCAGGAGGTGTTGAGGCCCTGTGACTCCTACCGAAGACAGGGAGGACTGCAGGTTTTCCATACCACATTTAATGAGGCCTATATTTAACTGCTTGCTATGAATGAATAAAACTGAAAGATGATTAAAGCAGCTGGCGAGGATGGCTTGTGGCTGGAAATCAGGGAGTAATCAAATTTGAAATGCAGGGAGTTTCTGGGATCACTGGCTTAAATCCCAGTGGTTTCAGTCACATAAATACATAAGTATGTATGCGAGTGAAAGCGAGTTCTTGATCTGTCCTTCAGATGTCTACTTTACATGCACATCAAAAACCACAGAGCATTTTGGTTAAGATCCCTATATCTTTAGTCAAAAACTGCCCTTCCTACTCCCAAGGTTGTAACAGGATTTGATTACCTACAATTCCTCAGTACAGAAGAAATGGCACAGCAGGACCTCAACACACAGTCAATATAACCTTTTTGTAGCGTCTGGGCTTAAGGGCCCTTCGTAGATTGATAAAATAATGTTAAAAATGCTGCTGCTTGGAACGTACTACAGGAAAGCACTAACTGGACAGTGACGTTTTCTCCTATATGAAAAACATCCCAGGTATAAGCAGCCGTATTAAAAAAAAAAAATCACTTCTGCAGAAGAATGAACTCTATTTCTTACAGCTGCGTTAGTAAAATATTAACATAAACATTGTGTTAAGGAAGAATCACTTGAAATTAAATACCTCCCTCTATTCGTACTCCCTCTACCCTGTACAGCATTTCTGTTTCTGAAGATGACAAATTTTGAAAACCCAGTTGTAAAGCTAGTAAATGCTGATGTAAACCCCCAATAGCCCTACCAACAAATGAAGGGGTAGGTAGCTACAGCTAATCTCTTTCCACTATTTACATTGCCATTTTGATAAGGGAGAAAAAGGATGCATATACTCTAGAAGTATGCTGAATTATTTTTTAAAGATGAAATAAAAATTAAAATGTTAAGTAATAATATTAAATAAAATATCATTTTATAAAATATTAAACAATAAAAATAATATAAAATAAAATGTTAAACTAACAAAAAGGATAAGTAAATACCAGCCAACCCCCTCAAAATTACCTCTGCATGGTTGGGTGCCCATTCATTACACGAATGAAAGGTTGCTCTACCTTGCTACCTGGAAACTATTTTTACTTTCAGATAAAGGCCATTACTAAAGACCATTTTTAGTCTCAGTCTTTGTACAAAACTGCCTTTAGCAAAGTGAGTTTCACAGCTGGAAGCAGGTGACAAGGACAAAACACAGATTTCACATTTAAAATAGACTCTATCATTTTTTAAATTTAGGTAACATTTCTTTGAATCAAAACCTTGTACAATTTGATGACGGTGTCCAAACTTTTGTTTTGTTTTTTTTTTCCTTGGTGGCTTGAACTTGGACAGTTCAATTTCTTTTGAACCGGAAAGCTGAGCGATTGATATTCAACCATAAAATATTAAGTTCATTTTTAACTGCACTATTTTTTAGCTTGATACTAACTTTTGTTGTCTCTTTGTATCTCTACTATTGAATTTAACTTTCACAGGAGAAGAGGGAAGCTGAAACCTATGCAGATAGACTTGCCTTGCCTATTTTATAATGAGATACATTTACAAAAATATGATTTTTTATTCTTTTCTCTTACAGTTTCATCAAAGCTATAAACCAGTATAAGCCAAAACAGATTACCCTGCCAAGTTGATCTATAAGCTAGGTGGGAGCAGATCTGATTTAAGTATACAAGATAAGCCAACACTTTGTCTTCACAGCCTAGAGAAATCCAGGGTGAATTATTTTTTTATATAATGACAGTCCATAATAAAGATTAGCAACTCTAAGTCACTTTTCCCTTAGCATGTGGCTGCAGTGAATGTCCTCTAGGAAAGGTTTTTTCAAGCAAGTAAACAGGCTGTGAAAATAAGAATGCACAATCAAACCTCTCTCAAAGAAATCACGGTGTCATTAAAAACTTATATATATAAATTATATATATATAAATGCATACACACACAAACTTTTATTTATTTATATATATAAATAAAAATAAAAACACACATCTATACATATATATGCATACACACACACTTTATAATTATGACAATGTATTATATAATATATATAAATAATATATAGATATGTTTATGTTACATACACACACATATATATTAGACAGCATTTTAATGACACAGGGATTTCTTTGAGAGAGAGGTAGAGGCAGCACCCAGTTTTCATCAGGATAAAATTAAGTGCAAATGTACAGTCACCCCTTAAAGTCTCAGTTTAAACAGATAAATGGAACATATGAGTTATTTTAGCTAAATGCTTTCTGTGACCATTGCAAGAAACAGCCATCCCCAGAAATGTTCCGCTCCATAATCTTATTTTCCTTTAGTTCTGGTGAAAACTGTACTCCTTGCCTGGCCCAACAAACCACATGAGAATTCTGCTTTCCTTATACCAGGGTAATATAATTAAAGCCACTGCCAACACAGTGATATTTCCTTTGTGCACAGCATTACTGAAAGTGGACAACTGTTTCATAGGAAATTTTAAAAAGTAAGGTTCAAAGGTAGTTTCAATTATGTGCTTTGTGAACAACAAATTATGCAGCAAAGTGGTTTTTATATTACCTTCTTACACTCTGCCCACTGCAGGTCAATCAACATTAACAAAAAATCCTATTTAACTGACTCTGTTTGCAGAAATGACATGGTTTTCATTTTTTTTAAAAAAGCATCCATACTGACAAAACACAGTATTGGCTCTGGTTAACAGAAATGCAGTTTTACAGATGCAGCTCTTGAAATTCCCTGGACTTGCAAGGCTCACTATTTAATTAGCATTAATAATTCACTGAGAGCCAACAGTGTGCATGAAACCTTATAACAAAAATAATGTATAATACCTGCTCTGAAGTCTTACATTTATCAGCTCCACCCCTTCAGTGAGACTCCCGAAGGGGAAGGAGCCCAGAATAGCACATTCTAGTGTAGCACTGGGGCCAGTACAATTATTTTGTATTCTCATACCACAGCACAGTAAATGCTCCAAGTAGCTTCATCACTCGGGGGAGTGAAGTCTTTAAATATATGAGGACAAACAGCATCTTATGGGTGTGAGAGAAGAATACAATCATGTTATGCACATTTGCTATGGGCATCATGTAAAGGACCTGCCTTGCTAAATAAATATACTATATATATATCATCTTTCCATTGTTACTGGGTCAGCTTCATGAACGCATTACTGAAGGAGCAAGACTGTTGAGAGGGAACCAAAACAGGGAAGGGTAGTGCCTTTCTGGATTAGTGTTGAGTCAAAGTTTCCACTACATGGTGCAACATAAAAGGCAAACCAAAGATAGCACTGGGAAAAGGTGACAAATGGGCCAGTTCCTAACCCAAGTGAGCGAAAGTGCAACACATTTAATGCTGGATGAAGTAGGGTTACAGCTAAAGCAGTTTTGCTACAGTTGTATTCACTACACCCTTATGCATAGCTGCTGCACAGCTCCCAAGCAGTAGCTCTCCCCCCACTTTGAAGTCACTACAAATGTGCATTTACCCCTACCCAAACAGGCTCAACTATTCATCCACATCCCTAAGCAAACCACGATGTGACAGAGATGTTTTATTCCCTGAACTATCCTTCCCTAATGCTCTATGATTCCATTTCAACCCCCCTCCCATTTCCTCAGTTGTTTCCAGTCATTTCCTAGCCCCATGGCTAACACCTCTCTTGTTTCTACCTTAGTCAGCTTACAAATTCCCTCCCTGCTCTCACTGGATGCTTCCTGGTGATCTAGACTTCAGTACCCCTCTTCAACAGGTTAAACCTGCTAGATCACAAAGAAAAGGTTTGTGTGCTATGTTAGTTAAGAAGGCTGGCTTCTGGAACACAAAGGACTATATTTGGTTATACAATGACTTACAGCAAAGTCACAGCCAGTGCTTTTCTTGATGTCATCCACGGACAATCCTTCCCAGATTTCAATCAGGGTCAGTCCCTTTTTCTTGTCCACATCAAACACAGCCTGTCAGGATCAAATAAAGTAGGAATCATGTTTTAATATTAAGTCAGATGTTGAGGAAATTTCTATTCACATAATGAAAAAGGTATCAGCCTTCTAACCCACAACTGTCCATCAAATATCAGTACATTATTCATTAGCACTTGAAAGAATATTAAAAAAAAGAAAAAATTGAAAAATATGTAATGTGTTTTATTTTGGATTAATTAAGGCCCTACCTCAGACAAACTGGGAAGGACTGAAGAGTACAAGATACTTATGCGTTTACTTGACCACTTCTATTAGGTGGGTCTGCTTTTTGGGAGGTGCTGTTTGGGGGTGAGGCAGCCAGGGATAGCATTTATTTACTTTGGTGTGCAGGTCAGTGAAGAAGTAGAAAATGCTTATTAATTGAACCCTCCTCTAGTGATGACTGTAACAGTCCATTTTGTACAATATGATTATTTGGGGAGTTCAGGACTGACGGTAAAACAGAGGGTTTTTCTTCTCTTTTTAACGTAATACCTGGGATGAAGTGGCAAAGATTGGATGAGGGAGTGAAGGCTGCTCCTTTCAATGCTTTCTATAGCACTAACTAATGCTTTACACTTCCAAAGCTTGCAACACATTGGATACAAAATTCAGTTAAATGGTGTGGATATTAATGGGATCCTGCCAGACACAGTTATTCTGGTCACATGCCAGTTGCTGGGGCAATGTGTAAGGTCTAGAAATTTTCCTAGAGAAAGTTGGTTGAAAAAGTCAGGTGGAGGTTTACTTGGAAAAAAAGTGAAGTCTCAAGTTCCCCTTATGACTGAAAACTCACACTTAAGGCTCAGTTGATCTCTGCAGAGATTTGGATCTACCAAGAACCTGCATACCTATGTCTCAGGACAGAAACTGTGGATAATAAACACCTAGTTTGGGATGTTTACTTGGAAATCATTAAACATTACAATTCAATTGAAGAGATGCTCCATTATATCCTTTAGTGTAATTTCTTTGAGAAACAGATGATAGATGCACAAAAATGGAGGACTGGACAACTCTTGCTCCTTTAATACACTCCTCTGAGTTGCTTACATAAGAATTGTCATTTATTGGGTCAGACCACAGGTCTATCTTGCCACGTGTCACACTATGGCAGTGTGTGGATACTGAAAGGAAAAGTAAACTGGGTATGGCAAGGGGGGGTTTCTACCCATCCCCTCTCACTTGCACCTCCAGCATTTAAGGTCTAGGAAGTTCTGATTCAGAGGCTCTACCCCTAACTCCCATGCTCAATAACTACTGATGCCCCTTTTCTCCATGAATTTGTCCAATCCCTTTTTTAATCTGGCTAAACTGTCGGCTTCTGCAGCATCTGGTGGCAACGGGTTCTGTGCTGTAATTAAACACTGTATGAAAAAGAACTTCCTTTTGTTAAACTTACTACCTACTCATTTCATTTTGTGACCCTTAGTTCTTGTATTGTGACAGAGTAAATAATAAATCCCCGTTTACTTTCTTTTCACCATATTGTATTTTGTAAACCCTTATGTCTCCCATGAAGTGACTCTTTTCTAAACTGAACTGGCCTAGCCTCTTTAGTCTCTCCTCATATGGAAGCCCCTCCATACCACTAATCATCCTTGTTGCCCTTCTCTAACCCATGAGTGGACCTTCCCTGTAATCCCATGACTACCTAATTTAGTAAGAAGCTCTGATGGAGGCTCTATTAAAGCCTTTTTTGAAGTCCACATATACTGTCAGTTGGATCGCACTGATCCACCTGCTTATTGACACCCTCAAAAAGAATTATATCTGGGGGCATGTTGTAGTAAAAAAAAATATGGTAAGATTCACCTTTTCATTTGTTTTCCTCTTTCTTGTGGAGAAAGATTCGTTTAATATAAAAATAGCAATATAATTCAGGGGATGTCATTGAAGTGCATTACTTAGTATAATAAAAGGCATCCCAGAGTAATTTAGCCCTTAAAAATGTAAATATCTACAGCAATACAAATATGGCTATAGCATGAGCCTAACTCTGTTGAAAAGGTCCACTGAATATCCAAGCTGATTATTTATTCTGACTCGCCATCACAAAGGGCCCTAATTCTACATCTGTTGCATAGCATTATTTGTGAAGTAAATTTATACTTAGTGTGAGTCAGGGTATTAGATCTGAGTCCAAAATAGTGTATGATTTCAAAAACAGAGTATACGGTATACTGGGAAGAGATGCTTAATGTTCTACTCCTATGCACTGGGGACCTGGAATATTTAAACTGTTAATTTTAGATAAATGCAAAATAATCCATTGAGAAAGCAAACTGTGATTTTTAGCTCTATCCTGAGACTTTGCATGCAGCAAGCCACGTTTTCAGTTTTAACTGTGGTGCAAAGTATGTAGGATAAATTGATACTTAATTTACATGATCAGTAATTAAACATGGGTGTGTATTTGATGCAGGCATCTGCACCCAGAACATGTTTGAAAATACAGTCTAGTATCTTGGTGCTAAAGGATAACATTCTTAACAGGAAAAGAGATCCAAACCCTGGAATCTTCGAGGTGGTATGTATTCTTAATAGCCAAACAATCCTGTACACAATGCATGTTTTCACTAGATGATATATAAATAAGATTTTGTGATACTTTTTAAGGGAAAAAATAATTGAAAAGCACTGCATTTTACCTTCTCTGTAATTACACGGTTCACACATTGTTTCCCAGTAAGTGGCAAATTGCATTTTTCCAAAATCTTGTGGACGTTGCCCTGTATTTAACAAGATAAAGGCAAGGGTTAATGTTTACAAAACAGAATTCAAAAAAGAACAAAAATAAGGTACCCAAAACATCACAAAAAGAGGCACCCAGAATCCCTGAAGCACGTACTGTTCCCCTACACTGGAGATCCTACAAAGTGTCAAACATTTGGGGTTAGACTGAGGCTTGGATTACACATCTATGCAGAAATTAACCATAAAATCTTATCTACACATACCCACCCTATGTCCTGCCTGCTTCTGCATCCTACCTTGCCCTTCAGTGCCTCTTGGCTGCCCGGCCCCTGCAAGCACAGGCACCAGCCCCGCTGCCACTGGCCAAGCCACAGAGTTCCCTGCTGCCCCCAAAAGGCCCCGCCACTCCCTTCCCCCACTGGAGGGCAGGTGCCTCCACCACCTCGCCCACCCAGCTGAAGCCCCAACATCCAGACACCTTCTCCCACCCCCTTCACATACCAATCCCTTCTACAGACACACACACACACCACCCAGACAGTCCCCAAGCCCTGGCTCCAACCCCCGGCTCCAACCCCCATCCCCACCGACTTACTGACATCCTGCTGCCAGGGCTGCTCATGCCAACCTTCCTGGCTATAAGCCAGCCATGTGTGTGCACACAAAAATACACATGAGGACGCCTGCCTCCAGTCACCCTCCCCCTGCTCTCCCCACTCCCAAGCAGCTCCTTGCTATGGAAAACCAGGAAGTGCTGGGAAAAAAATTGATGCTGAGCACAGAAAAATCCCGGACATTTGTTGATATTTTAAAAAAATACCTGGATGGACAAGCAAGGACCCTACAACAGGTTGTGTCTGGGAAAACCCAGACATATGGTAACCCTACTTCTCCTAGCGCATGGAGATAGGGAATAGGTGAAGCTTTAAGTAACTAGTGCTGTTGAGCTTCTGCAGGGCAGTTGGAACCAGGCAAAAGGAGGCAGGCAACTGTGCTTCAAAGGGTGTGGACACCAAATTCTTGGGGCACCTATGCATGTGCAGCAAGACTGCTCCAATTTGCTGTAATTTTAGCATGTCAGAACAGAATCGATTAACTGAGTCTGCTGGAGCATAGTAATTACTGCACTTCAGCAGACTCCAGCATCTCATGTATTAGTGTCCCCGCCCTGAAAAATGGTGATGGGGGCCCTTTAACTCAAGCTCATTGGACAGGGAAAAAGGTGAACTGCTTCAACAAGGCAGCAACTGATACACTGTAATTGTTATGCCCCAGCAAGCTAAGAACAATTAGATTTGAGCACTCCTAAATCCAGGGTTTAAGTTGGAGCAGGTTTGCTTCTGGTTCACTTGTAACAACTATATCATACCAGCTGCTGCCTTTTTTAAATGTTGCCCTTTCAAAAGGGCTCAAAGTGTTTGTGTGTCCACACCCAAAGAGAAATCTCTGAACAGTAATGCCTCCAGGAGTGGTAGTTATACTCCTACTCTGGGCTATATCTATAGACACAATGTAGCTTTCTAGTGTTATGTTAAAAGCCAAATAATGGCTATGCACATGGGAGTTCAGTGAAACTGCAGGGAAGCTTTCATCCCCATTCAGTCTATACACTCTACAGAAACACATGAACTATATTTTTTGCTTTGTGAGGTTCACTGCTCATTTCTGGGAGTTTGAAACTTTATTATTACTATTATTATTGTTTCTGTTGTTGTTATTGATAATAATAATGATGATGCTAACAATAACAGCATGAGCAGGTCCAGGATTTCATAAAGGGGAGTGTGGGAGCAGTAACCTGTGCTGTAGGGGTAGCTGCACCCCCATTCCCACACTCCATACACACCAGGGGGACAGACTGCACTACAGAAATAGCAGCACAGCACTAAGTCCATCAAGCAGGTAAAAATCTTCCCTCCCTCCTTCCCTTCCATTCCATGCTCAACAGCATGTTACCTCCCATCCCAAAACCCGCCTGCCACTGCTACTGCCACTGTCCCTAGCTGATCTGGGAACAGGGTTTGTGGGGTTAGTTCCAGACCTGCACCTCCCTCTCTCTAGCCAAGCCTGGCAGCAGCTGGGGAATTTCTTTCCCCTGTGCCTGCTCCCAGGCTTGCTGCTGCCACTGTTAGCTGAATTCAGCTTTGCATGGAGCCCAGCTGGAGAAGGTAGGAGTGACTCTGAAGCTCCCCCCCATCAGGACGGCCAGAGACAGCAGCAGCAGTGGGCAAGAGTCAGAAGGGAGAAGAGAAGGGGACGCACAGCTGAGTATGGAGGGGAAGGCAGAGATTCTTACTTGCTTCAGGGACTACTGTTCGTCTGTTGGATCCATTTTGGAATAAGAACAATGATGACAACAACCCTGGCTTAGCTAGCTTCTCCAGGTCCTCTTCCACAGACTCATCCGTCTGTCTGCCTCTACCTGGCTTCCTGTTGGCACAGTGCAGTCCTAGCACCGTGGCCACCAGCCAGGGCCTGCATGGGATGGGGTGCTAAGCAGCACATCAAGTAGCCATCCCACCCACCACGATGAGCTGTTGCTGCTGCTGTGCCAGACCAGGAAAGTTAGAGAGCAGCTGCCTTGGGGCCAAGCCCCACCACTGTCCCCTCCCCCTTCCCCCTATTCCCCTCCCCACAGTTGGCATGGACTACTGGTGCAACGGGGGCAGGCAGGACAGCTGCTTGGAGCACTACATTCCCTATCACATGCAGGCCCAGCTGCCAGGACTGCACAGCTACAGCACCAGTAGGGAGCTGGGCAGGGAAGAGGGATGGTGGATGCAGGGAGCT